TACCCTTAAGCCTTAACTTAATTACCATCGAAAAAAGGGAGGCGAGCAAGGAAAAAATCACACAGACTCTTATCATGCGTATGGATGGAAGCATGTATATGTGTTGGGCGGACTCGTACCGCCAGATTGATCTTAAGTTTTTTACTAAAGATAAATCTAATGGTATCTGATGGTAAAAAAAATATTAGGTCCATCAGATTAAATAAAACCAATGGTTAGATGTTCTCCTTTTTCCATAGATTTTCTAGGAATTAATTAGAGCGTTAGGTGTCATCTTTGCACTGTTTCTTGGAATCTCACGTGGCAGTTTAGGAGCTTTTTAGGATGTTTAATGGACTTTTATATAATAGATAGATATATCTACGTGGGTTTGTGAAATTTACTCCATAATATATATTTCCATTTTTAATATTTTGTTTTTATTTGGTTGCATTGCAAAGAAAAATAGTATATATTCAAAGTTAGGAAAGCGTTTTTCTTATATATAGATTTGATAGGTTCACCGGTTTAAACTATCTATATACCTAAATCTAATGGTTTTAATGTTTGTTTATATTTGCTTTTCATGCAAAGCACAATGTTCTATGGTAAAATTTAGGGAAGTGTTTCTTTTATATATAGATTAATGGGTTCACCGGTTTAAATAATCGTTAAAATATTTTTTTAGGGACAATGGTTAAAATAGTTGGTTCACCGATCGATTTAAGTGAAAAGCAAAGGTTAGATGTTTTATAATAATATTTTTTCATGTTAAAATTTTCATCTAGAAATAGGAAGAGAAGGATTGGAAGAGGGGAGAAAGCATGGCATTGTATTACGTACATACATACGTACTGAGGAGAGAAGGGGTGGGTTGTGGGATATTTTTTTTTATAAAGATAAATATAATAGTTGAAAATAGTGAGTCTAGCAATTTATTAAACAAATAGCGGATCCACCGATTTATTAGAACGCCACGTAGCGGTTTAGAAACGTTTTGTAGGATGCCACATGGTAATTTAGGAGCGTTCGTAGGAAGTTTAATGAACTTTTAGTATATAATAGAAGATTTTTCTTTCTAACTAATAAAGCGTAAAAAATATGAGAAGGAAGAGTTAATCTAGGAAGAGGGTGGTGTAATAATAATAATAATACATGAGGTATATTATTATTATTTTCATATATAGTAGGTAGTTGTATATGAGATATAAGTACGTACGCTGGGTGGGGTTAGGTTTGGGTGGTTAACTTTTTCTATAAGATAAATTTAATGGTTGTAAATAATGGGTCCATCAAATATAATGAAATCAACGGTTATATATTGGAGTGGCATGTGGCGGCTTAAGAGCGTTTCTAGGATGCCACGTGGCGACTTAGGAGTGTTCATAGAAAGTTTTATGGACTTTTAGTTAATATACAGATCTAATAACGACGTAAAATAATGTGTCCATCGATTCTGGTGAAAACCAATGGTTGGACGTTTCTCTAATTTAAGAGTGGCACACAACGGTTAGAAACATTTATATGATATTTAATGGATTTTAACGCGTTTGATGTCTATTTGTGGGGGTATTCTTTTCTATAAAGATAGGTTCAATTTTAATTAGGATTGGAAAAAGAAAAGAAAGGAACAAACGAAAAAAAAAGTACTAAACAGATGGAGCAGTACGTGCGTACTGCACATAGGTGGTGGGGCCGGTGGGAGGTTTTTGGTTTTTAAAATAGATCTAACGATGTAAAATAATGGGTCCACCGATTTAAATGAAAATCGATGGTCAGATTTCTCTATTATATTAGAGTGCCACGTGGCAATATGAGAGCGTTTTGAGGGAGCCACGTGGCAGCTTGAGAGCGTTTATAGGGAGTTTAATAGACTTTTAGTATATAATAGATAGAAGATAGATAGATAGATAGATAGATAGATAGATAGATAGATAGATAGATAGATAGATAGATAATAGATAGATAGAAGATAGATGGGTAGCAGATATGTTGGGCCTCTTCTGACGTACATCAAGTGCAGCTAGGCTATTCAAATTAAAACTATTGCTTTGCTAAGAACAAAGACGTAAAGAACGTCTGAAATATCATCCACTAGCATCTGATTGTGCATTAACTCTATTTGAGGAAGTTCATTCTCAAACTACATCCAGTGCTAAAAGTTTTACACTCACTAGTTGAGAATTCAAATGGCACACCACATAAATATTCTCAAATCGAACTGCTGCTAATCTAAATAAAACTTGAACTATCCCTCGATTCGATAGAAAACGAAGGGTCGGTATTGATCTATGAGCCACCGTAAGGAGTTAATCAGCTAAAGAATTGGAAACCTCATGTAATCTTCGACCATGAGGAACACAGTGGTGTGAGGTATCCTATATTGCACTATGGTGTTAGTTAATACAAAACTCACTGATAGTCTGATACTAGTTCACAACAGCCAGCAGCTGTGAAAGATACCCTTACTCTATTGATTCGTGCACATCCGGTGGATTTTCACTAGAGGAACGAGTAAAAACATCAGATTTCTATCGCAACTTCAAATTCCACAGGCATGGTTGCCTTTGCCCATTCTGTCGAACAACTTGAGGGCGCTCGAAGAGATCGCCTTGCTGCGACGGCGCAACACGCAACACACCCCGTCGCCGTGCGACACGAGCGGCCGCCCGGCCGGGCCCGCTCCCTGCCGTCGGAGACCTCCGCTCCCTCGCCTGGGGTGGGTGGGGGCTGGTGCGATCGCGGAAGGAGACGCCATGACAGACGAGGGAAATGGCAGCGGTAACCTTAAACCTTTTCGCTTTTAAGTTTTAACTGCGCGTCGTGTTCTTTTAACGTAAATTTCATAAAACCTTAGCTCTTGTATGTATCCCAAAATAAACCAATGAACGAATTGTTCCATCCAATTCTAAATTGATTTATTTTAGAACTGAGAGAGTATCTATTATGGTCCATGTTGGACACAACCATGATGATTTTGACATATGAATAATAACTCTAGATATGATGGTTCAAGTTTTACAAAAACCACACTGTTAACTATTTTTATATACTGATATGTCAAAAAAAATTTAAAAAAACTTTAGCATTTATATGATAGATGAAAACATTCATAAATTTAAGAGGTGAATGTGGTAATTAAAATAGGTAGATCAAAGTAAAAAAAACTAATAAGATGGTTTTGTGAAACTTTGTATCCATACCTGAAGTTAAGTACCACGTGATAAAACTCATATGGTTTTATATAACTTAGACTACAAAATTAGGGTAAGTACAATTTACTCTTTTTTGGAAAATTAGTCAAAATAGATAATTCTTTTTGAGAAAAACATCAATTTATTGGGTTATTTTAGAAAAAATATACTCAATACAGATCAATTTTTAGGATTAAACGGGTAGAGTAGGGGTTTTGGGAAATTTTGAGGTGATTTGAAATTTTCAAATTTGGAACGAAAGATTCAAAAGAATCTGAAAACTTCTCCTATGAAGTACTCCCTCCGTCCCCATTTTAAGTGTAGCCATGAGATTCCGTGTCCAACTCTGATAGTCCGTCATACTTTAATTTTTTGATGATTAGTATTTTTATTGTTATTAGATGATGAAACGTGAATAGTACTTTATGCATCACTTATGTTTTTTAATTTTTCCAAAAAAATTTCAAATCAGACAGACAATCAAAGTTGACATGAAAACTCATGGTTACGTTTAAAATGGGATAGAGGGAGTATGATATTTGTAGTACTAACTGGTCTGAAAATTTTCCTACAAAACATCTATTTATGTGCATTTTGCACCTGAAAAGAATAAAATGCTGCAAGGGCCCAAGTCCATTAATTTTCAGGCCATTGAGCCCATTTCATATGGAAATAACTCATCTCCTCTCTGCTCATACTAGTACTACATAAATAATTTTTTTATGAGAACCCCTTAAGGTTGCAGGCGGACCATAATTGGTCGCACCTACAAAAACATGTATGCATTTTCGCATACCGCTCCTTAAAAGACCCACATGTGAAAAGTCCAGTCGACCTTCCTCCACCTTAAAAATCTACCCGCTCATTTTTTATCCACTCCTACCTCATTCTCTCTCCTTATCCTCTCCTCTATCTCCCTCATCTACCCGACATTCTTTTCCTGAGTAGCATCGGCGGGCTCAGAGCAGTGGCTATGGGCTTGACGGCTGGAGGTCGCGACGGTGGATCCGTTAGCCGTAGATTCGGCCACGGTGGATCCACCAGTGGCGAGCGACAAGCTCGGGTGGCGACGGGTCCAGCCTCCGACCGCGCGGATCTTGCCACCTCTCCTCCATCCCTACCTCGTCTTCTTTGATACTAGCGGCCGGAGGGAATGGGGAGCATTGGCGGCGAGCTCGAAAGGTCAGTGGACGTGGGATCCCCCGCCGCTGGCGAAGGAGTGGGGGACAATGGGGCTAGGGTTTCGGGTTTCGATTTTTGGAATTTTTATTTTTTTGAGGTGGAACCAGCAAACGGTTGGCTCAACTGCATGGGAAAATAATATTAGACCATATGCAAAATTGCTTTTTTAAGTAGTGTCAATCCTCAATAGAAGTATTTATATGGCCAAAAGATCATCACTGTTAGATATTTTAAACAAAAAAAATAGTGTATTCGAAGTGATGTAATGTTGTGGACTTTAAATTGTTGTGTTCATTCTTTACTTGGAATGATAAGATTAGGCAACATTTAATTGCAAGATGCCATTTGGTGGAAGTGGAACTATTGATACCCTCAGTAAGTTGGATAAGACATGTCTATACATCATTTAAGACAAGACATGTTGTAACTTGTAAGTTGTATAAGACAAGTACATAATTCATGGCTTGGAAAATAGCAGTAAATCATGGGTTTCATCATACTAGATTTAGTAAAACTATTAATGCTTGCAAATTATCTTACCTTGGTTCTTTCTTCAGAGCCGTATTCTGATTGCTCAAAGGAAAAAAACATATTGTGTTCTGAAATCTGAACAAACTGGATAGCATGTGCAGAACAAGCAAACAATACGGAGGAAAGCGAGACAGATCACTATATTTAAAAACTTTTGGCATCAGGCAGTGAGAGAAATACATTAATTAATATCCTATAGGAAGAACGTAACTATAAACAAAGGCATTTACACGTATAATCACAAAGCGTCTTTCTTCAGATCGAGCCAAAGAAGCAGCCTTCGAGGCCGGCCAAGAAATCTAGCCTTCCATGCAGGCTCCTCACTCTCATAGACAAATCCACATTTGTTGTACAGCTTCTGTGCTGCCTCATTGTTGATGGCAACATGGACATACAGATCAGTTATACCTGTCACAATTTTGCGCAACATGAGCATTGGTGAACAAAAAGGGCGTTAATCAGGGAAAAGAAGGGAAATAATAGGTCTGCTAATCAGGTCATGGACTGTTTAAGCTCATCAGAAGTTAGCAGGACTTCATAAAAAAAATAATAACTATCAGTTTGTAGAAGGTATTGTTGTGCTGGACATTCTCACAAGTCACAGGTCTGATTTCCATGCATTTACCGAGTCACAATTTCATGTATGTTGATGATCATAAGTATATGATCATCATGAAAGCAAATGAGTTAAGAAAGCAAACAGAAATCGACTCACCCCATTCACGAGCCAGTTTCTTAGACTTGTCAACCAGGGCATAACCCAATCCATTTCTTTGAAGCTCCTTAGCAACACAAACATTGCTCAGATAAGCCCTTGTATGGCTGGACTCATTTACCTATTCATATATATGATGAAACATAACTATAATTCTTTGATGAAGTAAGAAAATGATTTTTTTAATTAAAACAAATCAGTATTTTGGATCATATCTTCACCTACACTTCCAAATGCAACTCATGTTTATTTGACAACAAAATGAGAAAATATGTAGTAAGTTAAATGTATGTGTCGTCAGAAAGCAAGCATTGCAGATATTAAGTTAAGTATAATCAGTTAACTCTGTTTGAAACTATAGAAAATGACAACCGATGAAATAAAAGCAACTAATCTAAGTTATGACTTTAATCAAGCTTCATCCTTAATTACATGAAATTTCTAATAGAATACAATTCAAAAGAACTCAATAACCTTACCCCAGGCCTCTTTCCGGTCAGTTCATCTGGTAGCCAAAGACACTGATTAAGGTCTAAACTACCAACTACAACTCTCTCTTCTCCATCTTCAACAAACTGAAAGTGCACAAAAAAAATAAGACATCAGATTCAGTGGACAAACTCTAGTATTTCATGGATTAATCCTGTTAGAGATGAATACCAGATATAGTGTAAAGCTCTAAGAATAACATGCGGGCCAAGAGAGGTGAATATGTAAAACTTATGATGAATAGTGCAATTTTGATCTAATAGAACATACAACTACCACCAGACTCATCTGGAAAACAAAAAAGATAACTACTGCCAAACTTCATACCGTAATTTGGAACTTTTTTTCTATGCACTCTGCTTGTGATAAAAATGAAACACAGTGAGCCTAGAAATGCCCTTCTCCAAATTTCTTGCTGTTGTAAACTTTAAGCCCTGTGGACCTCGAGCTTTGTACACATGCAGTAATTGTTAATGCGAATAGGACCAACAATATGCCCATGACTTATATTCCTTACTTAAAGATAAAGTTGATGTTAGGTTGCTTATCTATTTTGGGCATATGTTTCTAAACAGTCAATTCATCCTATTTATATGTATAATGATGAGGTCGTCCACTGCTCCACTAAACCTCTTCTCATTAAGAATGAAAAAAGTTCCTAGTCTCTTCTCTTCTTAACCTAGCCTCAGAGCCAGGTCGAACCATTTCAACACCTAGATCAAGGCGGCAAGCCCTTCATGTGTAAGTATTATATGCAAATGGAATACATAAAAATTCTTGGGGCAATGAATTTAACTTTTTGTCATTCAGAATTAAATATTTTAGTCACATGAAATGGATTTGCACAAAAAGAAACATTCATTTGATGGCATGATATCTATATAGCATTATACCTTACATGTAGAACAAAGCTCCTCTGCTGACACCAAAGAAGGCAACAGTGGGACTGTTCCATTTATACATGAAACTCTTTGAAAATTGATCATCTTCCCAGAAATTCGATCCTGTAATGCGTCATACTCCCGGTCCGCCAGAGATTTTCTGAGATCCTAATAGAACTTTAAATAAGTAAAACTAAAATTATTATTTAACCGTTTTGATGGTTCGCAGGCAGACCCAGGTAAAACAGAAAAAGATAGGCATGCACTGGGAGTATAGTCGATATAGAATGAAGATTTATTAAAAAGGTTAAAGAAAACATTATGATTCGTACAATGTGGCATCATTTTGCAACTAAAAGAAGTCCTTTATGCTAACTGTTTAAGACTTGACCAGAAGGATAATTTCAGCACACAGAAAACTAAATTTATATTTGTATTTAGAAATATATTTGTAACAATCATCGCTACATTTGCATCTTTGCAAAAGATAAGTTTTGAATGGCCTACCAGATAAGAAAAGTGGCTCCATTACCTAATAAATTCATCACTGGGAACCTCAAATTTAGAACTTATTCGCAACAGGCAAGAAATTCCTTGCTACGGAATTTAGTTAATTAGCAAACTAAAACTCAAAGAAAGTCTGAACGATTGCAAACATGCATTTCGTCAATCAGACAATCACAAACTAATCCACACCCAATGTTACGCAGGGGATTGAAGGTTGAAAAGTTTTAGCACAAATTCGTGGTCGTGTCGGCCATCACATTCCCCACCTAGCAGATGATCGCGCAGGAAAGGGGATCAAATCAAATCAATCACCTCGGCCCCGTAGGAGTCGGTGGCGTACTCGTAGAAAGTGCGGATGCGGAGTCGCACGGCAGCGCGGAGCTCGTCGAGCGTCACGAACTCCCGCACAGCCACCGCGCCCGCGCCGCTCCCCTCCAGCACCAGCGCGCCGCCACCCCCGCCTCCGCCGGTGGTGGTGGTGGTGGTGGCTGCGGCCCCCGCGGCGGCGCGGCACCGGAGGCGCGGCGGGTTGATCGGGCGGCGGGAGCGCGGGGCGGCGAGGGCGGGGTGGCGGTGGCGGGCAGGAGGGGATGCGGCGGAGTGGGGAGGTGGCGTGGGCGGCAGCAGCCGCGACGCCGACGCCATGGGGATGGGGGTCGAGGCGGTCGGCGGCGGCGGCTGCGGCGGCGGGTGGTGGTGGTTGGTTGGTTTGGTTTCAACGGGTGCGGATGCGTCTCCGCCACAACTGCCGCTGTTGCTGCCGGCTAAAATACTTAACGAACTCTAGAGTCTAGAGTAGTTGGTGAGAATTGAGCTGGAGAGGTGAGCTGCCCTGGGTTAATATATACTGATTGACCACTTGTCTTATTAAAAAAAATTATGTAAATATAAAAAACGAAAAGTTTTGTATACTCACTCCGTCCAATATAGAACCAACTTAGAATAAGGGTTTCTCTTTTTGAAAGAAAAAGAAAACCAAAAAAATAAAAAAACTGACTGATATTTCGAATTATTTTATTTTTGAAATTTTAACACATTTTTACTGAATTTGAATAAATTATAACCAAATTCACAAATATTTAAAAAAATCAAAAGTTTCGCTTGAAATATTTGCTTGCTAGAGGTGGGGACGAAATTCCCGAAATTTCCACCCCTGCCTAGAGTACGATGTGATGTTTTATAGCATAATGAATATGGGATATGGCACATTTCTTCTTAGATTCGTTTATTTTGGAATGAAAAAAGTAATGATCTTTGACTAGCTCGAATATGATCTTGTAAGGCTCTGTTCGACAAATAATGTTGGAAACTAAACCCACGTAAAATGAAGCAACGTATTAACGTATCATTAATTAACTATTAGCTTAAAAATTAAAAATGAATTAGTATGATTTTTTAAACCAACTTTCGTATAAAAAAGTTATGTAAGAAATACAAGTACAAAAAACATGCACGCAAAAAATGAAAAAAATAGAAGTTGGGCAGCCTAAGTTACTCAATCCGTTTTAAAATATAAACAATTATAGTATTTAAAATTTATATAGGAATACTCGTGAAGTACTTATGCCATCAGCCACTCATTGTTCAAATTTATTCTTATTTGTCTCTAACTACACTCAACACCTAAGTATTTTCTTCTCAACCTTGTATACACTAAGGGTGAGTTTGAGGAGGAGGAGATTGGAAAGATTAGGAAGATACCCAAAAAGAGGTGAGACATTAGCGTATGATTAATTGAGTATTAACTATTTTAAATTTCAAAAATAGATTAATATGATTTTTTAAAAAAACTTTTCTATAGAAATTTTTTGCAAAATACACACCGTTTAATAGTTTGGGAAGCGTGCGCACGAAAAACGAGGTGTTTTCTCACTCTAACTCACTTGAACGAACGCAGCCTAACGACACAAGGATACTACTACCTACACCCAAGATTCATATCTAAAATTACTTATATTTTAGAATGGAGGTAGTATTATTTTACAATGGAGGGAACAAAATATTTTCGAAGGCATCGGATAACCATTGAGCATGGCCACATTCTTGTCCATTGAACACGTGCGTGTGTTTTTAAAATTGATAGACAACAAGAAACACCAAAAATTAGAATTTGAACCCTGTTAAGGCTGGATTCATAAATCATAACCACACCGCTTAACCATTTATCATAGCCAGCCTCAAGTATTATGCTACTTATCCAAAGAAATGATCAAATATTAACCTCTCAAAATGCCGCGGGATCCTTGAAAATCTACAGTGCCATGTCAGCAATTTTTTTTCAAAAAGAACCCTGGGTTTTTGTTAATTACATACTGGTTCCCACCAACATCGTCCGTTCGATCTCATGGTAGGGCCGATCTAACCGTCTATGTTCCCACTGTGGCGGCCCTTTCTTAGCCGTGGGATCGTCGAATCGGGAACGAACGGCGTAGATTTCGTCCATCAGCACCAAACCCTAGCCCCCTCGCCCGTCTCACCCACAGCCTTGCGGGCAGCCACGTCGCCGCCTCGCCCTTCTCCCTTTGCGCGCGCCGCCGCATCCTCGCCCTCCGGATGAGTCTCCTCTGACGTAAAGTCAGAGGGACTTTGTCACTGACATGTGGGACCCACAAAGGTTGGGCCCACACGTCTGTGACCCACGTCCCTCTGACTTTACGTCAGAGGAGCGCGATCCTCGCCCTCCCCCAGCCATCATCGCCGCGCCGCCGCCACCAACAGGGAGGCCGTGACATCAGCTAGGATGGCCCCACGTCCGTCACCTGTGGCGAGACACGCTTTCCTCCCCGGCCAGTGCGGCGCCAAATCCGCCTCGAGGCCATCGGCTGGCGATACGCGCTGATGTATCCGGTGTAAGCCCTCTTCTTCTTCTCTCCCTCTTCGCCCAATTGATGTGGTTCTTGCTCAGGGGCCACCACCAGATCCAGTAGAAGGAGGTCGTAGGAGCAATGGGAGTTGCTTAGTGATTGCTAGGAGATCAGGGAGGAGAAGGAAGGATAAGGGCGCAGCTCAGTTATGGCTGCCACGACGATGGCTGTGGGTTGGCGGCAACTAAGGCAAGGCCATCGCCCAGTGCCACATGTGGCGCTGTACATAGCACCGCGACTGTTAACAACCGAATTTGGTAAGTATTCGTATCAGGAAAGGGGATTTGGTCAAGAAGAGTTGGAGGCGGAGATCGAGTTCTGGAACAGAGCAAGAATCGGCTGGAGTCTGGATCGGCTACGGTTAGGATCGGCTATGGCTAGGATCGGCTAATGTCGGGTTAAGCTAAATAAGCCGATATAGCCGATTCTGACAAAAGAACTTGTGCGCGACGTCCGGCTCAGGTTGATGTGCTTCAAGATGATTGCCACGCATGGATAGAGTCTTGGGAAGGCAATTGTATCTATTAATTAGGATTATTTATGTAAATTCCTTATAGATAAGTGTGGGCAAGAGTCTGCCGCAAAGACTTGTAATATTTTAGAGTTTGTTAGAGATAATAGTCGTGTCCGGTATGGGCATATCTTGTAATCCTCGGGTATAAATAGACCCCGAGCCCTATGTAATTCAGATATACACATTCAATACAATTCCGGCGCATCGCCACCTTTTGCTTTAGTTTTATTTCGACGAGTTCTTGCTTTCGGGTTGAGCTGCATCGGTTTCGATCTTCAACAAGAGGTAAAACTCGTTATGACGAATTATGTTCTTAGGGATTAGTGCTTCCATCTTCATGACACTCTAATCTCGTTTATATAATTCATCAAGTTATCATATATCTTACATAATCTATAGCAATATCATTGTCTAATATATCTTCGGCCGATATTTGTACGCAAAAGACAGCCGATTAGGTTAGATCTCGACATTGATTTAGATTATATAAGATATCTACCATTCTATGAATCTTCTAGCGGCTTGATTGTCTAGATATTGTTCTTCTTTTCATACTTAATGCTGCATCAATTGAATTTGATCTATTAAGTCGTGCTTAGAATATTAATCTCTAGCCTGCCATCTAGTTGTTGAGTAGAATAGCATCGGAGTTTCAGCCGATCGTATCTGATTCAATTATACTTGCTCTATTTGCTTCGCTGATATGATGAATCCGTCCTTTATACTGAGATAGTGCTATATTCAAATGTGTTAAACTGTTGTTTAATATGTTTTTACTGTTTTAACGTCTCCCAGGCCTCGTGTTTTCTGTCAACACGCTTTTGGCACGCCCAGTGGGACCTGATTAGAAGTCAGACGTCAGCTCCTCCTCATGGCCGAGAAACAAGCACCACTACCATCAAGCCTAGGCTCCGTTAAAGGCAAAGCACCAAAGCCGGGGTTGACTGACATCATTGATGACAATGTCCTGCCGATCGATCTTGAGAAGTTCACACCTGACCAGAAGCAGGAGTTTGAAGCAATGATGCAGCAGGCACGGGATCAGTATCTAAGCTCGTTCATGCAAACCCGCAAGGGAACTCTGGTTCAGAAGTACAAGATGAAACTAGTTGCTGATACCCCTGGAACCGGTTCTTCTAATAATGGAGAGGTAAAACAAGCTCCAGATGGCTCGGCTCAGCCAAGCAACAAAGGTGCTACCAGTGGTTCTGTAGGAAATCAAGACGATAACCCTCAAGAAGTGCACGGAGCTCCAGGTGATATTGCTCAAGGGCCGCAAGGAGGAAATCTTAGTCAGAATATCGAGCTAGCACAAGATTTTTTCAACAACTTTCAAGATCGGGTTGATTATGCGGTGCATCATGCTTTGATCAATCAGTCCGGGATCTTAGTCAATACATTGTCAAACATGATTAAGACGATAGCCGATGGCTCAATAGCTGAGCATCAGGCCACAGGCCCGGTCTACTTGCAAGGAGGCGTTTTCCAAATTATCGAACTTTGGTCACCGATGCTCAGCCAGTCGTGCAGGCAGCTCCATCTATCGCACCTGCGACTCAACCAACAGCGCCAGCATCAACGCCTTTACTTGCTGCATCGGCCACGGCGACGTCAGCTCAGCCGATGGATCCTCGATTGCTAATGAGGGAGTACCCACAGCCTGCTGGACAGACCTCGAATTAGCCGACTCAAGATCAGGTTGCTGCAATGTTTCTCCCACCACCACCAATTGTTGATCCAGTGCAGCAGCAGCCGATCCAGCAGGCACCACCAATTCAGCCGGTGGTGCAGCCGGTCCAACAGCAGGTCGTACAGCCAGCACAGCAGACACCACCAATTCAGCCGGTGGTGCAGCCGGTCCAACAGCAGGTCGTGCAGCCAGCGCAGCAGTCACTACCAATTCAGCCGGTAGTGCAGCCGATCCAGCAACAGGTTGAGCAGCCAGCTCAGCAAGCACCATCAACACAGCAGCATCTCCAACCGATCCAGCAAACACCGCCGAGGCAACGGCTTCAGCCGATCCAACAGACTCCGGTACGGCAGCAGGTCGCTCAGCCGATTCAGCACTCGGGGTCGGCTAATGCATCGGTTGGGTTTGCAGCACCTGGGGGGCAACCTGCGCAGCAGTTTGTGAATCAAGTTGTCCCAGAACATTTGGTTCATCATGCGCAACCAGATGGCACTGTGATATCTCAGATGGTTCCTGAACATTTGGTACGTAATATTCAGCCGAATTTGCATAACTACCAAGGGGGCAACTTAGGCTATCAGTATCAGCCTCCATCCCCGCAAGCCCAATATCAGCCAGGGGGATCGGCCCAGCAACAGTTCGCTCCCCAGTTTGGTCAGTTTGAGTCCATGCAGCAGCAACCGCAAGGAGCAGCTCAGCAACGACCGTGGGCTG